TACTTTATTGATCCCTTGTGGATAAATTCTCTTTTTCCTACCCCACCTTATTGTCCTTGATACACACTCACACACACCATAGAGCTGGGGGCACAGAGACTTAACCTGCTGAACCATACACTGCCCCAATTGGTTTTATTAATGACTAACTGACTGTTTTCTTTCAGAATTAACCAGGCCCAGATGGCCAATCAGGAGACTCAGGAGAATTGTTATTTAAGAAATAAAAAAATGAGCCGGTCATAAAAGAAATGTTTTACAATTTAAAGCTGTAAAACTAACACTTCAGAATCATAACCAGCAAGTGTGCCCGTGCGCATGCGCACACACACACACACGCACAATAGATCACAAATGTTCTACATAGACAAACTTGCAAATACACAGCACAGGTGTCATTGTAATCGCTTATTACTTAGAACTGAGTGAGCGCAGTGCTTGGAGGTGCAGGTGCCACAACTGGAAGTTTCTCAAATGATGGATGTTAGAAAGACAGCAGGCGGGATCGAAAAACTCAGGTTGCTTTAACAGCTCAATATGTTATTCATTATTTCTTTTTTTCTTGAAATATCAGTAATAATTTTGGATAATAAGACTTGAACTATGTCATAATTTCTCTTATCATTATTTAAGTTCCCCTAGAATGAGGACAAAATGGGCTGGTCCTGTGCATAAAACTCCCAGGCTGAAAATCAGTCCCACTCCATGCCTGGAACTGACCCAAAAAGCCAAGCGTGCACCCAGCCTCATACCCTGTGCTTCCTGGAAAAGGTTTCAAGCCCCCTGCGACCCTGACCAGGACACCAGGTTGGAAGATGTACAGATGTAACATTATATGTTAATGTTGTTTCTCCCACAAGCAGGTCAAACATATTTAAAGAAATGGAAAGAGCAAAGAGCAGTGAAAAGTGCTAAAATGTAACATAAATAGTGATATAACTGTGACTACAGAATTACTTTATACTGTAAATGTTTATCAGAATATTTTTCTATTTGATCAGATAATTCATTACTGCAGTGCATGATTGTCCTACTTTGTCCCAAAATGGAGAAAGTTATAAATGATGCCAGATAAAAAAGTAATTGTCAGATCTGGAAAATAGATTTTTTTTATTCAGATGTATAAACATTTTTCTCATCCTAAACACCTTGTGGCATTTTTTATTTTTTCCCTTATGCTGTATTTTGAAATCTAGCATCTTTCCAGCTGTCCATAATTGCTTCCCCAACTTCCTCTGCCTGAAAGATAATCATGTGTCCAAGGTCCATGAAATGATCAGTGATGACAGATGAAAAACCCCATCAGTCAAATTTAGAAAAATTATGTTTTTAAAAAGCATACTCAGTTTCCAAACATCAGTCTTTGGCCTAATCGCTAAAGATGACACGTCACCCACCAGAAACAAAGTAGAAAGACTAACAGCATGGTGCTCTGAGAATGACCGAACCCTCAGCAAGAACAAGACAAAGAAATAATCACTGACTTCCAAAAAAGAAGAAAGCACACACCCCTTCAGACATATAGGGAACTGAAGTGGAGCGACTGACCAAATTCAAATTTCTCAGGGTCGAGATCAGAGGACCTACCGTGGACTGCTCACACATCTGCTCTCACAAAGAAAGCCCAGCAGAGCTTATATTTCTTAAGGAAAGTACAGGAAGTCAAGCTCCCACATCATAATTTGGCAAAATTATACAAAGCAGTGATACAGAGCAGCCTGACCAACCGCATCACAGCCTGGCACAGCAACTGTACAGTAGGCGACCAAGAGGCTATACAACAGCTGTTTTGTTTTTGTTATGGTTTTGTTTTGTATTTGATTTTCGTTTTCTGTATTTTTCCTACACTACATGCCCGCACCGCCTACACTACTGATTACTGACAGCCATGTATTATATATATGTTGTGTCGCATTCTTTTTATTATCCTTATTAAATCCTTTGACTATTTGGTCATTTTGGGTCCCGTGTCTTCCCTTGGATTTTTTTTCTGTTTTCCTTTCTGTTACGATTTTGAGCCATATCTTACATACATAAACACTGTGGTAGTACACTCTGGTACAAACCTGCACAGACCCCTTGAATTGGATTGTGGGTTACCACGTTTTCACTGCCTTCCAACTCCCAGGGAAGTGCTAGAAAGCAAAAACATGCCCTGTCTGGGGGTCCCAGAGGAATGGTTCGAGAAACACTGATATAATGTGTGGATTGTGTGTCTAGATTGTGTTTGATACATGACCTGGCAACTTGAACAACATAAGACAAACATAAAAAAATGTAAACTGTAGATCCATGTATGACTATTCATAATAAAGTCTG